GTTGTTTACACCTTAGTAAACTAACACTTTTTGTAAGTGAAAATCAATATTTACTTTATAAAAACTTAAGAGAAAACTTAAGAAATGGAAATCTAATTATAAGATAATTATTTGATAAAGAAGTTTTTTAAACAACTTATCACAAAAAAAAAAGAATATTTTGATGATGATAAATAAATAAATGATAATAATAATAAGTAACTAAAATATATATAGTAAGTTACTAAAACATATATAAAAAGTATAATTTTAATATATAAGTAAGTTACTAAAATATATATAAAAAATATAATTTTTTGGCTCATCTTGATATTTCCAAATTTTTATTCGATATCAAATGCGTCAATTCGATTACGTTTACATATTTAGAATTTAAGGTGTTTAACTTTTAAGTGTAACACTTGTCTTTACTTTAATTTTTTCTGTAATATTTATATTGTATTACATCAAAAGCTTATTCAAAAAATAATCTAAATGCGTTGCATTTCTATGCAGCGTTACTTGCCATCGTTTTAATGAAAATTAAACGTATTTTAAAAAGGAAACCTGAGTTCAATGAAACTAAGAATGCGTCAGATAAAATCGCCAATGACTTTTACTAAAACTTAAAAACTTAAAAATGCCGTTCTATGTTTTTTTTTTTAACATCTAACTTAATTATATTGTGAGTTGATAAACAAAATTTATGAATAAATTTTAAGAGTCATTTTAATAAATACCTTTTCTATTATTTAGAAATTGTGTGGTAGGAATTAGTCCGGGATAATTGACTAGAATCTTATTTTTTGATAATAATAAAAAACAATTATTAGCCTTTGTAACTGGATTTAGTTTTATCAGTATATTGTAAAAAGCTAATTGTTAAGGATATTCTGATAAGTGATTACAATCTATATTAGCTGTGTACTTCATTTATATTTAAAGTATTTGTGAAGTCAAATTTGAAAAGTTGCTGCATCAGATTGAATAAATCAAAGAAAAAAACAACCTGTATGTACTATTATTCCATTAAATCAATTAATAAAAAGATGCTCGTGATATATATATATATATATATATATATATATATATATATATATATATATATATATATATATATATATATATATATATATATATAACGTTTATTATATCAAACTTTTTAAACTTTCTTTTGTTTCAGTAAACTGCTGATTATAGAAAAACGTTTACATTTTTTACAAATAGCACGTATGCGTAAATTTCCTCTCGTATCAAGCCCTAAATCCGATTGTGTACTTCACCTACGCAAACGCGAAAAAAAATTCTTTTCATTAAAAGACAGCATACCAAACCTTTTGTTGATATATGTACACACAATGCGTTTGAGGCTAAATAAATCAGTTATTGCGAATAAATGCATATAATATATAACCAGGGTGACGGAACCAGTAAATGCAAAGTGGTGAGACATACAATACTTAAATTGTAAACATTTGAAATTCGAAAAAAGTTTACATAACAAACTAGCTTAACTTTTAAATTTCAATTTGAAATTATTTGAATTTAAAAAAAAATTGTATTTAAAAGTTTTATGGTAAATATTGGTTTGTATTAAATGATATCCGTTTTTCCTTATTTCATCTATATACAAATTGTGTCATGTGGCCATATAGTCACATGGCACAATTTCAATCTCTGACCATGTGGCCATATGGTCAGAGATTGAAATTGTAAGATTATCTAAGACTTAGATTAGAACATATTTAATTTCTGAAGGAAATAAATTAATGAAAAAGTTTTCAATAAGGGTTTTGGTTTTTGCAGTTACACGTGTTGAAAGAATTGTGGTTGGAAATAGGGATTGAGAGCACAAAGATTTAAAATAATTAGAAACGACCTGTGGTTCTCTTGACTATATTAAAAAGTTTCGTTTTATTGTTTTCGTTTTATTGAGTTTGACAAGTGTTTACTTCATATTTGTATTTACTACTATTTTTAAGCATCTTTGGTGTAACATCTTTATTTAGAATATATTTGACTTGATTTAATTTAATTTAAAGGGTTGACGATATTACGTCTGAGTTTTTTTCACGAAGTTCGGGAAGCTAGACAAACAATACTGTACTTTAGGGTATCACTTATTTTTAGTAGGTAAACAAAATCGCCTATTTTTAAGAGGTAAACTGTATCGCCTATTTTTAAGAGGTAAATTGTATTTTTAAGAGGTAAATTGTATCGGTAATTGTATTGTATTTTAGGAGGCAAACGGCGTTGCCTATTTTTAGGAAGTATTCAGTGATTAGCCGTTTTAAAAAAAAGCAAATTCGTTTAAGTCAAGTTTTTAGTGTTCACAGTTGCATTAAAATAATGATAATAAAAAGACATTTTAAAGTACGTTTTTAATCTTGTTGTTTATTTATTTTTAACTTTTATTTATAAAAAGAGATTATTATATCCATCATTTAAACTGTTTGACTCAAATATTTTTTAGCAAGATTATTTAAAATGTTTTCTCCAGTAAATTTCAGTCTATATGATGGGTTGAAGAAGAGAATTTTTTTTATCCAAGTACTTATGGTTTATAGGCCCCTCAAATTTCCAATAATATATTTAAACTAATTTAGACAATCAATGCTTGTGTCTTAATGTTCTTAAGTCCTAAAACCTTTTCCTATCTAAATGTACTCATTTCTCAAAATGGTAATTAAATCCTGTCATTATGATTGATGTTTTGTTATTCCAAAGACTCAAAAATTGGGCGCAATAGCAAAAACATTAAATCAGATTTTTATACAATATTTGAAATCTTAAGCCAATTATATAAAAAACCCGCATAAATGTATTAGTCAATATATTTAGAGAACAATCATTACAAATTATCGTGTGGAGCTGTTTGACTGCTAAATAAGTATGTTAATCTTTGATATTTATATATTTATATAAATATATTTTTTGATATTTTTCTTTATTGCTATAAGAAGTGTAGGTTTATTAAAAATTTAATTTAAAAGCAATTTTTATTTGTTGCAACTATTTTTTTTTTAAAAAGGAACTTTCTATTTGGTCGCTTGATTGATTTTTTAGTCATTTATTTTAAGCTAAAAAAAATATATCGTTTCATTTTTCATATTATATTATATTATATTATATAATATTAAATAATTTTTTTTGTTGATAACTTTTTTTGTCAAACTATTATGACTTAAGTGCTGAGATAATAAATAGGTATTAAAGACACGAGGGTCCTGGGTGCTAGATGGGCGCTTCAAAATAGAAAGATTAGTAATTATACTAAACTTAAAGAAGAAAAAAAAACGTTATTTACAAGATTTAAATTTGCGTACGTCTAATTCAACTTGATTCAAATTCAAATAAATAAGAAAAAATTTTATAAAGGCTTAAAATTTCGATAACCGTCAAAACAGCGGTAGAAAATTTTTGCTCATATGTCACGATAGAGATACTTATATCATCAATGTGTTTAGGTAATAATAAGTCTGCGCGTTTAACACACATCAGAGAGATAACAAGGAAAAACTGAACTCAAGCTAGGGTCAGAGACAAGACACAAATTTAGAGGTGAAGATAAGTGATTAGGTCTGAAAAACCAATTGTGAAATTAATCTAAGTAAGAGATTAAGAATTACAGAGGCTATGAGATTTATTGCCAGCATGGTTCGCGGTGTTAAAGCCGAGCCATTCAGTGTGAAAGTCATCAATAACAACAATATTGGAAGAAGCATAAGAAGAGAAGATGCTTAGACACTTTCATCAAAAATAACAATTAAAAGAGTGCGGGCTTGAGAAAAAGAAAAACAATAAAGAACAAAAAGAAAAGTAATTGAGTAAAAAGATGGTAGGTGGAAGCACATATAAAATTGGATAGAGGATTTAAACCTGATTTATTGACAAATAGTTAAGTTAATGTGTACCAAAGGATAGTTGCCATTACAACTGAGATCCAAAAAATAAAACAACCGAATTTAACTTAGTCTCACAGAGAGCAGGCAAATTTGGTTAATTTTTCAAGAGGTAAGATTCAACCGATAAAAAGTTACTTTGAAGACCACGAATGTTTCTGAAAGATATATTGAAAAAAATAGGTGGTATGACGGTTTTTATGTTTAATGTTTTTGTTTATTATAAGTATGCTTAAGTTAAATCAACATTGCATTAACTCTTGAACGTGCGTCAACGAAACCCCAGCTGCAATTGCTTTTTTTAAAAAGTATACAATTATGCTAAAAAAGGGTTTTAAAGGGTTTCCTAACAGTTTCTTGATGCATAGAAAACACATAAGCAGCTGTAGATGTAGAAAAGTTAACTGTAATGTCACAGCTAACTGCGCTGCATCCAACCAAATTCAAAGGGATGGTTGGCAAAGTTAAATAGAGGGCAAGTTATTTTCTTCATTATCTTTTATTGAATCTTTTTTTAACGTACTTACTTATTAACAACATTGTCATACGTTTGACCGCTGCATATATTACGGTTTGCTTTAAAAACATCGTACAAGTATTCAAAAACGCGATATTTTCTTGATAGCGTTTTATTTATAAAAAAACATTAGAAAAACGCACTTTTCAGACCATTCTTATAAAAACCGCGCAACTACATATCCTCATGTGTCAGATCTAGTGTTAAATCAATAGACCAAAGTAGCCACTATTACTGCCTACTTTGGTTTTTCTTTCGAAATAAATAATAGAGTTACGCAGAAATTCTTTTATTCATTTTTGTAATAAGCTCTTCACAAATTATAGCTTTACCTTAGATAAAATTAGATTAAAAATGATTAGAACATGCAGAGGCGATTTTATGAGGGCTTGGAACCCCTCCCCCCAATAAAGATGATTTTCAAGTTATAGTCGGGTTTTTTACGAATTTAGTCGGCTAGTCGGTTTTTTAACTTATTTAACAGTCGGTAGGACAGGTCGAATTTGGAATCAGAGGTTTGGTAATAAAGAGATTTGATTATTAGGTGAAAAAAATGTGCCTGGTAAATTTTTTTTTTTGTTTTATTGAAGTTTAAGTTAAGCTAAAATGATTTTAAATATCGATATAATAAGTTTTTGCGGCCGCGGCGCAATGGTTACATCGCTTGCTTTATAAGCAGGAGATCGAGGTTCGAAACGAGCTCTGGACACGTTTTCGCGTCACGGTAAGGAAAGAGGCGTGCACTTCCGCGACAAGACCGTAAGGTCTTCTAGGGGCACCTAAATAACAAAAAAAATAAAATAAAAAAATAATTTTTTTTTTTTTTTTTGCAACGCCATCTTTACCACTAACATTTCATACAAATTAAAGATTGCCGCACTTACGTAAAATAAACAAATGTTATAGTGTTGGGAAAATAAAAAATTTTGGAAGACGAAAATAATGTTTTCAAGTGAGTGTAAAACGCGAAATTGCACAAAAAGCAAGTTTAATGGAAGTCCTAACCCTCTTGCAAATACAGAACCACCCACAAACAGACAGATTATTCAAGAATTTTATTTTCTTAACAATACTTATCCAAGTTTTTGCTTTAGCGTAATGTTTAATACTTATCTAAGTTTTTGCTTTAGCCTAAAACTTATAGCTGAAAAAATAATCATGATATGGAGAAAAGTTAACACTCGGCTACCATTTATGTCCTCTTATTGTGTAGAAAAAAGTTGGAGTACTTCTAAACATATCCAGGTTAGTTAACCGAAGTAAATGCAAAGTATTAACAGAAAAAAACATTTCTAAAAACTTGGATAGACATGTGGTCTTAAAGTTGTTCTTTGTGATGATAAAAATATCAAATGTAGTCAAGATGTCCAGATACTCATATTTTATGCACAAGTAGTTCAGATAAAAAAGTGCTATGTTATTTTTTAAAAATAGATAAATAAAATAACAGTGTTTTTAAATAAAATGAACATTAGTATATTACTAATATGATAAAGTTTAATACTATGAATTTCATACGCCCTTGATCAATATTATCAAATAATATTTAGATTCCTGTAGAAAAAAGGTTATATATGAAAGACCAGAGAGAAAAGTCAGGTCCAAATATATCATTACAACTTGGCTCAGTTGATCGTAAATGGTCTAGAAAAGAATCTTTAAAGAAACATAAAACTGAATACAAAAATGTGGAAGAGTCATTACAACAAGAAACATTTAATTTATTTCCAGAATTACTATTATCAGAATCTGATTCAGAACCTGTCATTTCTAGCTCTAGTGAGGTAACTAACTAATAAATTGAAGTTTGGTTTATTATTTTACATTTTTAAATTTACTTTCTTTTTTTAAAATATAATATTTTTATATATTAAAATTTTTTGTTAATAAACTTTATATTTTTTTTTTAGATATAGGAGCCTGAAAGAAATCCATCAGGAATCTACAATCTTTGGAAGTTTCCAAAATTTACTATTGAGATGATCAGAAGCGATAAAGGAAGTTCGATTGGAGTTGCCTTAGGGAATGCTCTTATGCTCGATCTATCAGGGCTGTTTAATGATCCAGCAATTGTATCAACTTTTTAGACAAATCCAAAAGACATTTTAGACAGACAAAAAAAAGTATTGTCAGACTTAAAATCTGTTGAAAATGACAGAGAGTTTGTTTGCTATGGTGTTGATTTTAAAATTGATAATAAAAATTTAGTTATAAGAGAAATAAAAAAAGAAGATTTTGAGTTTGTGTTAAAGAGATCAACAGAGAAAGAAGATCACATGACTGTGATTAAAGAACTTCTCCCTATACAGAATCTTTTATTTATATAATTTCAACTTTTGATAGATATTTCAAAGGTTTTTAATAATCTTGATTAAAATTTAACCTATTGGGTAAATTTAACTTATCTGAAATAATAAGGATAGTTTTCTATTTTACAAATATTCTATTATATAGCCCAGGCGTCGGCAACCTATTTTAAGTAGAGAGGTTTTTCCTAAAATAATTAAAGTAAATCTTCCTTAAATAATTTTAAAAAAGGAGTTGCAGGATGTTTGAAACATAGTTTTAAATCAAAATATTATGTAATTTGGACAGACTGGAGAGACACGGAATTTAAACAACTTAGTAGTAGAATGAGACTCGCTACCCACTTGTTGCTGACCCCTGATGTAACCATTAAACAAATTTTCTGCATTTTAATTTTGTGTTTTTTTTATAAAATCCGGACCAGAATTTACAAAAGAATTATGTTAAAGTGTTAATATCTAACTTAGAAAAAAATATATAATTTTGATTTAGAGTACTTTATTTTGTTTTTCTTCATTTCTAAGTAACTGTCAGTCTTTTGCTTTTTATTTTTTTATATATAAATTCGTTAGGTCCTGAATTTATAATACAATACCGCAGTAAATGTGGCGCAGAAAGCCTTTGAACTCAACTTCAAAGCTAAAATCGCTCACGAAGAAACTACTTTAAGTTCATAAAATTTTCCAGGATGTGCTTTTGGTTGTAAAAAAAGTTGTAATTCGACCTACCCTATTCAGTCGGGTGAATCTTGACATCGAGTTTTGCGTAATTTGAGTTTGTTACCTCGAGTGTAAATTTAGTTTATTAAAAAGAAACTTGATATATTTAGGCCAACTAAATTTTTCAGATATTTGTCAGATGTAATCATATCTTGCATAAAGCGATGAATTTCTAGTAATTCGAAATCAAGAATTCTAAGTCTATTATAAAAAGTTATTTATCCTCTTAGTAAAACTTCTTTGCACTACTTTGCTCAATTCTATGCGGTTTGACGACCAAACCGGAGAGCAATATTTTAAAATTGGTCTCAAGTATGTAATGTAGGCTTTTACGATAACACGTGGATAACGACTTTTAAAACACTCAAGGATTAAATAACCTCCTATGTTTGATGCATGGACGATATTTATTAGGTTAGCCGTGCTTGAGCAGCCGTGGCGCAGTGGTTAGAGTTCTGGCTCAGAACCAGGTTCGACGCCAGCTCTAACTCAAAAAGCGACATTGGTACGGAAGGAGGCGTGAACTTACCGTCCTGCGGTACTCTGTGATAAGACCGTAAGGACTTCTGGGAGCACCTAAATAACTACAAAAAAATACATATATATATTTGCAATATGATTATTGTAATTTAAGTAAGAAATTATTAAATTAACAGAATATTATATTAAAGTAATTGTATAGAGTTCCTTTACAATTATAATACAAAAGCTGTTACCGTCGATACTGTTTTTCAAAAACATTGGCCATAAATTTTTATTTCCGTATTATACAAATAACAGAAAGAAAAAAAAAAACAACACTCACACACTCTGAAATAAATTCGATATTTTCGAAGTATTGATAAAAAATAAATTTTTGTAATTTTCCGTTTTGTTTGGCGTGGAATTTTTCCCTAAATAAATAAATCGTTTTCAAACAAAACACTAATTTGAAAGAAAACTACTACCTAACATTGAAATGTAATTTTTCCTTAAATTATCTTTGAATAACTGGCAAAAATATACGAGTAATTTGTTTCAATTGCGTCAATTGCTAATTCAAGTATAACTTGAATAATTTATGTTGTAGTTTCTGTTTCTAATGCAGGTAAAATCCTAATCAAAACAACAAAGAGCCCAGATGTAAATAAGTTATTTAGATGGAAAACACACAATCAAAAAGTTAGTAATGTAGCGGAATAAAATTTTCAATGGTAAGTTTTATTTAAATTCCATAAACTTGATTTGAGGCTGTTAATTTTGTAACTGTTGACAATCATGTTTAAATTATCAAAACTTATTCATTTTTTATTTTTTTTATTTCTTTGTTTAGAGCTTTAAAAACTTTTGATACTAAACAGACAAACTAAAGACAGGTTTAAAGTTAACTGAAATATGTCTTTCTGTTATGCAGGAGTCTATTTTTAACGTTAGCTATAGCATAGTTTGATAATGTAAATAAATTGTACTTTTGGATATTGAGTGTCTTTATAAAAGTAACAACTATACTATTAAGTTTAGAGCAATTCTTAAAGGTTCACTGTATTTAAATTGTTAATTTTTAAAAGTTTTTTAAGTTGTTAAAGTTTCTAATAAAAGATGAAAAAAACAAAGTTATAACACAACATCAAATATTATAAATGATTTTCTTATCATTTTAACTACATTATATGGTATGTTTTTTACTGTAAAATTGTAATTAGAGAAAAAAAATCATTAAATTTCAATCATTAAAAACAACAGTTTCTTAACTAGTGGGTTTTTCTAGTTAATTTCCAATAATGGAAAATGTTAAACAAACATAAACTGTTTGCAAAAGTTTTTAAAATAATAAAAATATTATTTAGTAATAAACTCAGAGATTTGAAATTTTATTTTATAAGTTATGAAAAACTATTGTTTTAGTTTAGTTTATTAATGCTAAAAGAGTTGCCTTAAACCACAACTCACATGTTTGATAAAACATTCTGCATTCTAAATTTAAATATTTATATATCTTCTTCTTGGAAATTGTCTTTGTTAAAGTACACCATGAGGTGTAAAAAGTTTAGACTTTTCTGAGTTGCAGTCCAAGCTTACTTTACCTCTGATATACATTCATATATATCACCCTATAATATATTCTATATAAAAAAGTTTTTGATTTATATATATATATATATATATATATATATATATATATATATATATATATATATATATATATATATATATATATATATATATATATATATATATATATATATATATATATATATATATATATATATATATATATATATATATATATATATATATATATATATATATATATATATATATATATATATATATATATATATATATATATCTTTTACAAATAAAAAGTTTTCAAAAGACACCATACTGTTGAAGTACATATGGGAATCGAATGATAAAAAAATTGATGATTTTAAATCCTTAAAACAGCATTTGTGTATAATAATATTTTCAAAAAATGCATTCATGCCTACAATAAAAATTTGAGATGAATTTTATTCAACAAAAAATCAGAGTTGATTTCTAAATGTATGAAAATCCTGAAAAAACTATAAATATAAGTGAGCTTAAAAAATGATTATATGAAATCCCTAATTTAAAAATACATTAAAAAAAAAAACAACAGCAGTAAACAATTCTATAATTTTCTTTTTATAATAATGTCAGCATATTCTATAAATGTGTGAGAATTTACAGTAGCTAAGACAGTTTGATCCTGTAGTTTGATTTTTGGTATAAGTTGAAGTTTATTATTAAATTTGTTTAAATTACCGCAAAAACACAAACTTAATTGGCTTTTTTTAATACAAAATGTGTGTGTGTGTTTTTTTTTAAACATTTTCGCTTCCAACAAGGCTGCAAGCAACCACTAATTAGTGTTGGAAGGTACTGGAAGAGAAAAGATGAAGATTGTAGAGCAAGATAATGATTGACAGACAACTTAAAAGATTGCAAGTTATATGAATCAGGAAAGCAAGATGAAGGAAGCGAATTCCAAAGAAATGATGTTTGAGGAAAAAAACTAGACGAATAAGAGTTTTTGGAGCACTTAGGAACAGTAACAGAAAAAGGATGAGGCTTAATTGAATGACAAGTAACACGAAAATGAATTTTAGTAGATGGCACAAGAGACACTAGCTCTTTAGAGCAGTTCCCATTATAGTATTTGTAGAAAAGAGAAAGAAAAGCAACATTACGACAATGTGACAGAGGTTGAAGGTTGGCTGCAAGAGCAGGTCCAACTATGTTTACAATATGTTTTTAATGATTCATGCTGTTTTTACTCAATTTTATTTGTTTTATTTTATTGTTAAAATTAAAAGGTTATATAGGTTATAGCTTTTTTTTATCCCCAGTTTTTCTGTAATTTTGTAACAAGTTTTTCTTAACAACTTTAAAATTAAAGAAAAAGTCATTGATTTTATTTACTTTTTGAAAGAAAACGCCTCTAATTAACATTTATTACTCACTGGACCATAGGGTTGGCATTTGGCAATGCTGACCTAATGTGTTTGAGATTTGCTAAAAATTTCTTACCTCATTTTTTATTTTTTAGATTACCCCTTTGTGTCAAATTTTGTTTTGCTAACCTGATGCCAACCTCTAACAGTTTAAGATATTACGAGTACTGTATAAGCATCCGAGTTCCAAATACTGAGTACAGTATAATTGAAATTTTTAAATTAAAAGTATATCAAATTGGGTTTCAAAATAACTAGAAATTTATAGAGATTTCAAAAAAAGTAATAAACTCTTATAAAAGTTCTTGAAACTGTATATACAAAAAAATTGCATTTTTAAACAGAATTTTATATGGTCATTTTTTATGACATTTTATCCTAAAAATGTAAGAAAACATTGCAAAAGTCTATTTGCAAGCAGTATCAACTTTTATATCTTTTTGGTTTCTAAGATTGAAATATATTGCCACCTTCAAAATCCAATGTGTATACAAATATATTATAATTTTAAAATATAAATATTTAAATTTTGCTTTATAAATGCTTTTGATAATTATTTTAAATTTAGACTTACTACTAATGAAATATTACACTGAATGTTGCAAAAGTTGTTGGAGTTTATAAGATAACATATTAATCCCTTATTGTGGGACATGAAATGAATGAACTAATTATAAGGTAGTTATTTATACATATATTTTGTTGATTAAATTTTTTTTTAAGTATTGATTCAACTTTTTTTTTTTTTTAATTAAATATTACAAACAACCATACAATTATCTAAGTTTTTTTTTATTTTTTATTAAAATCTTTTACTTTTTTTTTTTTTTTACTAAATTCTCCTCTAGAAGGCTCCACTACAGTCAAGCAGGTTACTCTTTTTTATATTTATTTTTTATTTATCACTTACTAAAAAGTTAAGAGTTAAATAGTTTGTTGACAAACGACTTTAAAAACTGTATTTTGTAGGAAACAATTTGGAAAACGTCAAGATTGGAGAGAATTCCAAAACATTTGAGAAAAAAAAACTAAAATTTTTTGAAGAGACTTGAACTTAAATGCTCTTCAGTGGTGCTCTGTGATTGTAAGGACCTCTGAGAGCACCTTAATATCTAATTTATATATCAGCAATAAATTTCATTATTATAATTTTCTTAAATGTATTTCCTCTAAGAATGTACTATAAAAGTATTAGAAAATGTATTTATTCAAGAAAATATAATCACCTAAAGTATTAGAATTTAAAGGTATTGAAAGCATGAATTATTAATTAAATTAGCATTAAATAAGCTGATTTTTATTCAAAGTAATGTTATTAAGTTATTAGGTTTAAACCTTGTTAATTAACATTGTTAGTAACATGGCAACTCTTGAGATAGAAAGAAAAGTTTGTTGCTACGCTGGGGATAGAAAGATACACATAAATAATTATAAAATTAACAAAGTTTGAAATTTTTAACGAAAGTTTAAAAAAAAAAAATATTTTGGCAGAAATTTTGAAGTTTTTTTTTATTAACTCTCTTGCTTAACTCTCTTTTCATACTTTAATAGTGAAATATATTCTAATACATAATGTTTTTTGTTATATTTTATATTTATTTTTGTTATATTTCTTAACTTAATTGTGATTTTTTTGTTTTGAACAATGTTTATATAATTTATTTAGTTGTCCATAAAAATGCTAATAAAAGAGTACCGAATTCCTTTACCTCTTACACTAGAAGAATATAAGATTGCACAACTGTATATGATTCAGGTTAGACCAAGTTTATTTTTTTTTGTTTTATAGAATGTAGATATTATAAGAAGAATATCAGTAAATCTTAATACACTTCTTTTGCTTTTGAGTACCATGAATCACTTAAATTTTTTGTGTATCAAAGTGAATTAAATAGAGGGTGGTAGGTATTTTATCACTCAACACTTTTAATGGAAATTTAAAATTTTTTTGTCTTGTTCATTCTGAGTTACATTAAACACCAAAGTTTTGCCGTCTGCTGCATTTAAAAAATAACTTTTACTTGAGCTTTCCAGAACATTCCAGAACATTCTTTTGGTTATTATGATCAAGTTAGAAGTTTTTGAAGAAAGTACAAAAGTACAAAACAAAAAAAAAATTGTTTTCTGAGAAATGTAAAATTGGCATTTTTTTTAGATTTTTAAAATTTTTGTTTATCAAGAAAGAAAAATCAATATAAATGAACTAATAAATCAACTCTTCAATAACGTTGGTGTTTTAATTAATTTCTGTCTTTGCGCAAACCATTTTAATATATTTGTTTAATTTTTAAAAAATACTTCTGCACTGTTTATTACAGTTAAAATGAAAGTAATTGAATTTTTTTGTATATACGTAGAAAAAAAGTCGAATTGAAAGTACTGGAGCTGGTAGCGGCGTAGAAATTCTGGAAAACTCTCCATATCAAAATGGGCCTGGTGGAAGTGGACAGTACACAAAAAAAATTTACCATGTTGGTAATCACTTACCTGGTTGGTTGAAGTCTCTTCTTCCCAAAACAGCTCTACAAGTAGAAGAAGAAGCATGGAATGCCTACCCATATACAAAAACAAGACACACATGCCCTTTTGTTGAAAAGTTTTCCATTGATATTGAAACTCGTTATTTAGCAGACTACGGACAAACGGTAGGAAAATAACTTGTAGGTAACTATAATAAACATAAATGATATACAGAGAGATAGAGTAGGGTAAGGTCAGTTAGGAAGATAGAAGGGTAGAAATGAAGTCTTTGTCTAAATGTTTTAAGACCAATATATTTTCTAATTTTTTCTTTTTTTATTAAATTTATAACCAATGTTATACTATTTGACCAACCATCCTTTTTTTACAATCTATTTTTCACTTTTACTTAAAACATCATTTTTTTTAAACCTACTTAATAATCTTCTTCCTTTTTTTTTATAAACCTCTACAAATGTATTTAATGCTTTTGTATTTAGGAAAATGTTTTTAATCTATCAAGTTCACAAAGAAAAGAGGTTGAAATCGGTACATTATGTTTAAACTTATTTAAAACTTTGATATAAAATTTTATTTTTTTATATTTTAACTATAAGTTTCTCTCATAGATTTTGTGGATCCTGTGTCTGATGTGTTTCCAGAAAAAGATTACAAAAAAGAAGAAGATCCACTTTTTTATGTATCGAAAAAAACTCAACGTGGTCCTTTAAATGAAAATTGGTTAGCAGAGTACAAAAATGGCAACAGTAAAAGTCCAGTGATGTGTGCTTATAAACTTATCAGTGTTGAATTTAAGTACTGGGGCATGCAGGTTGTTTATTCAAGAAATGTTCTAAATAATTTGTTTCTCAAAATTTCAAAATTTCTCAAATTAAATTTTAAACTATAATAGTTAGATTAACTCAACAATTTTTATCAATTTTTTTTGAACAAATTCACTTTCAACAATGCTGCGAGCAACCACTAAGTAAGTTGAGAATTAACAGAAACAAAGAAGTTTGTATGATTCAGGAAACATAACAAGAAAAAATTCCAAGGGATCAATTCCAGTGTTTGAGGAAAAAAGCAAGGTGAATAAAAATTACAATGGACTGTATATATTGTTTCCGTGAAAAGCTAGTAATAAATTATATTCCAAGAAAATTTAAAGTCAAGAACTCAGTGAAAGTCTTGCCATTCATCAATCCATTCATCAATATTGGAAAATAAATGCAATAACTATTAGTAATAAACAATGGATTTTAGTTTCAGTTAAAATTCAACACCAAGTGCAACCCCTAATCTGTCACATATTCCTGGACTGGAGTTTATAGTTGTGTCATCAGAAAGTAGAATCACTTTAAAGATAAGATTCAGAAAAATTGGTAATATAGACTAGGAAAAAAACAGAACTATAGATGGAATTATAAGTAGTACCCTTTTTAAAAGAAGAAATATTTTAAGTAACAGAAGCAGAAATGATTTAAAAATAGAATAACTGGTTTATTTATTATGGCAGTTAGTATGTGATCCTTAGTTTCAAGAGATAAGTCAGAGGAAACATATTTTCTGTATATGGCTTATTATTTGTGAGTGGTAATAAGTTTAAGGTCAAAGGTTTTTAAAAAGTCTTTGGAACTTATATCTGATATAAAATATGAGATTTATTAGTACTGAGAATATTGGAGCTTAGCTTCAGACAATATCTTTTTGCATCAATTTTTTTAACGATGAAAAAAACGGTCACAGTTAGAAATAGCAGCTGCATATGAAGGAGATAAACATGGGGTGCATATGAAGGAGATAAACATGAGGTGCATATTGGAGGAGATAAATTTGGGGTGCATATAACCTTTCTTGCCTGTCTGAATCCAGAATATTATAAAGAAGGTACAATTTTCACCAGAGAAGGGAAAGACATCAGCCCAAAGATAATCACAAAATCCATAATGTAATAGTAAGCAAATGCAATTATTGGGTCATGTTAATCTGATGTCAGTCTGATAACCAATCAGATGTCAGTCTGCTAACCAATCAGATGTCAGTCTGATAACCAATCAGATGTCAGTCAGATAGCCAATCAGATGTCAGTCTGATAAGTAATCAGATGTCAGTCTAATAACCAATCAGTTAGGTTAATCAGATGTAGAAAAAGTAAAAGATAAAAATTTTACTGAGTTCCTAGCATGGTTTAAACCACCTATTGGAGATTGAGTAGAAACTGATCACAAGCTAGTGCAAAATTGCTAATTGTTTACTATTACAAGTATATTCCCAGCCTAACCATGTGATTATTGCAGTTTTTGTGAATCAAAATTTAATAAAATTAAAACTATGTTCTGAAGATGAAACAATAAACAATAAGCAAGTAGGTCTAGTGAGTCTCACAATAAGCAAGTAGGTATGGTAAATTTGGAAAAATGTAAGATTTAACGGATGAAAAGTTACTTTGAAGATCATGAATATTTTTGAAGAATAGATTAAAATAACTTGGTGGTAGTGATTGGTTTTTTTGTTCATAATTTTAGGTACTTTAATTATTCTTTATAAAGAACTTGAGACAATCATTGCCATGGAAACCATGTGGTTGCCTCATTCCTTCTAATTGACATAAAGAATGGGTATAAGGATGGTCAACATAATTTTGCATAGGAGGCCTACTAAAAGATAGTATCCAGATACAAACAATGTCTGTTCAAGATAAGTTTGTCCAAGTTAAGTTTGTCCAAGATAAGTTAAGTGAGACGCTGTCTCATCTCTATTTAACCATTTTATATCAGCTTCTACTTGCTTTTGCATTGAAAAGCAAATTCTAGAAGGAAGTAGGACATAAGGCAGATTTTCCGGGATGTTACCAGTGGAAGGGTGATAATGAGTTTAAAAGTATGAAATAATGGAAACAAAAGTAATAGGCAATAAAGAAATTAAAAGTGTAACTTTGCTACCTGTTATTGATTAGAAAAAAACTGTTGCTAAAATAATTTTTTATTAAACTTTGTTGTTGGTTTTAACATTTAGGCATACATTTTCATATGCTCTCATAGCAGTGATTAGAGAATCATTGTTTTGAATAAAAAATATGTTCAACAGTTTTATTGTGGTACCTTAATAAGAAAATTATGCTTTAAAATATTTTTTTTTGTTAACTTAAAACATTTATTTTTAGAGTAAAATTGAACACTTTATTCATGGCGGACTAAGAAATCCAATTCTTGTTGGTCATCGACAAGCATGGGTATGGCAAGATGAATGGTATGGTATGACTATAGAAGATATTCGATTGCTAGAAAAGCAAGCACAATCAGAATTATTAAAGGTAATGAGTGATTTTTCAGAACACGATGGTAAATTAAAAATTGAACCTTCAATTGTTGCAAAAACTGAAGATAAACCAATTGCTAATTTCAACATTCCTTTAAAAGAATCCTTAGAAGATAAAAAGACAGAGATGTGCATAACAAAAAATGTGAAATCAGATTTTGATAGTGATAATGATAAGTCAAATGACAATAGTGATGAGGAGGACTTGATTTTTTATGATGCTTTAGGTATGATAACTAATAGATTTTAATTAGCTGTGTAAATTATTTCTGTAACTTATTCAAATTATGAAAGTTATAAAATGTTTAAGAAATCCACCACAACTGTTTTCAGGTAAAATTGTATTCAAATTTTTTTTATTGATGTATAGAATCATTAGGTGAAAATTTGTTGGTAAACAAACAAAAAAGCACCAACTTGAATAAATTTCATTCTGTTTCATTGGACCCCATTCTTATAAAGAAAAATAAAGTTAAGCCACAAGTAAGTTAGTATTAAATAAATCAAATCTATTTTGTTTTTGTTTAAGTTTGGTTATAATTGTTTACAATATTTCGATTTTTAGGTTAATACTTCTTTAAAATCTTCAAACAATCATACATTACTTTTTGTACTTCATGGAGGAGGTATTTTTGAACATGAGCCTGAAAATATTCACAAGTGGAGAGAATTTGAAACTTTAGAAAAGAACTTAACAAATTTTTGTGATAAATACTACCCAGAATTGCGAAGCAAACTTCATATTAAATTGGTAGAATGTCCACTACTTGCAAATCCTATCATCAATAGCTTAAGAAATTTATATTTAACTCCAACTTCAAATCCATGTTAGTTTATTTGTTATATAAAAAAAGTTGTGAATCCCTTTATCAATAGCTTAAGAAACTTTTTTCAAACCCATAATACTTTGTTTATCTTTGTTTAAAATTTTTATAAGTTTCAATTTCCATTATCAATAAAATAGAGAATCTATAGTTAAGTTCAACTTCAAAGCTTTATTTTATTTATCTTTACTTTTTTTTTGTTTAAATATCATATAATGTTTTATTTCTATTGTGAGTAATTTTTTTTCAGTTTTATGAAAAAGTTGTAGATTCATCTTCATCTCTTTTCACTTTAGCTGTGTTAAAGAGAAATGACACATTACCAAACAGTTTTCCATTTTGCGCTGTTCCAGGTTTTATTGTGGACTCTCCTGCATTTCAACCAGCTCTCAATGATATAGTTGATAAGATAAATAAAAAATATTCAAAAGTTGTTAAAGAATTAGGTCAAGATAGCCTGGTTGAGGTAAAAAATTTTCATACATAAAATACTAATACTGAAAAGTAAATAGAAAATTACTCATAAAACACATGATATTGAATGTATTAGATTTTATAAGTTTCTGAGAAATTTATAGTTATGTAAAATATTTTTATAAAGAAATTTTTAGAAAGACATCCTATTCACAGATCTGCAATTAAATAACTAAAAGGTTAAACATCACAATGAAGTATAAGTTTAAAAAATAAAAGGTACTAAGATCACTATGAGCAAGGAAAGACTATAAGATCACTATGAGCAAGGAAAGACTATAAGATTACTATTAGCAAGGAGATATGTCAGAGTTAAGATGTATTTTTTGAAAATCTGTTTATAGACCTTCTACACTGGTAGAGTAATGGATGGACTTGTTTAATAAACTCATCAACATCTTAGGTTTTTTGTGTTGTATTTTTTTTGTGTTTGTAAAAAATATATTAATTTTATAGTTAAATTAATTTATGTTATGTATTAAACATAAATTGTTTGTAAATTATAATATAAAATTAAAACAAATAAGTCAAACAAAAAGAAAATATGAATATATATATATATATATATATATATATATATATATATATATATATATATATATATATATATATATATATATATATATATATATATATATATATATATATATATATATATATATTAAACAACTAAAATATATAATATAGTACATATGTTGCAAAAAAAATCTTAACAAAGTATTTACTAAGTATAAAACAATGTAATAAATTTACAAAGTAAAACTTTGTTAAAAAGTGTTCAGTTCTAAAAAATTTTGTTTTAAAGCTCATCTGTTGTGTAGATTTAGGAAAATTGTATATTATCGACTAACATTAGTCAGACGTCATATTTTTATCCCAAAAACTCTAATAATGCTCTTCCATGACTTGTAAATATTGATTTAATATGTTCGCACTACTTTTTGCTCTCCTAGATTTTCAGATGTAGAAAGTTTTATGCTCATACTACACCCTAATTTTTTTTTAAATATGAAAAGGTCTTCTAAAAGTTTAATACCTTTAAATTTTTTTTTGGAGGTTTTGTATCATAGAGGAAAGCTGTCCAAGTCCTTGATTCATAGTATTTTTAAGTTGAGTGTGATTTTATATGTAATTTTATAGGTAAATCATTAGTTCATTAGACAGTAAATCATTAATCATTAGACAGTCTGCCAAATCTTAAACCCTTAGCCGCTCTATGTGCACTCGGCAGAATTTATCCTTAGGTAGTCAGCCGTTATAAATACTCCACTGTGTCTATTCATTAATATAAATACTCCACTGTGTCTATTCTTTAATAATCTGGTGTAAACTTGTTTCTCTTGCCTTGAGGAGCTTGTGATCATAAACTTAGGAGTTTATGGCATGTTGTTTTCCAAATAAAGTGACTAAAATAATTAAAACGATCAAGCTTTTGCGCTAGTTGTGAACAATGATAGTTGCTAGACTTTTGTTTTAGTTGCAAGTCCTAAACTAAAATGTTATTAATAAATTGCTGACCTCAAACTGTTAGAGGTTGGCAAAAAATGAGAAATGCAAAATTTCTCATTTTAGCCCAAAAACCACTGTTTCTTCTTTCTGAATACCTTTTTTTATACTGGACATGAATCCAACATTTATAAATATAGATTTATAAATTAACTTATTTATAAATATAGATTTATAAATAAGTTAATTTATAACTTATTTATACTCTAACACACTTTTACTTTCTTCTTCTCTGAGCTTTTTAAAGCTGCACATGTTTCAAGTGATTAGAAATGGTTTTTTAATTGTAAAAATTTATTCAAATAAAATTTTTTTTGCAAGCTAAAAGTGATGCTTTGATAATGTTTTGCTTACCAGGTCTCATTTTTTTTTCTAAAGGACCAGTGTTTTCTTACCCAATGTTTGTTTTTTGGTTCTACTGTCACAAAGGCATAAAATAAGGAAACTTACCAAGAAGAATGTTTACCATTTCTTTTGTACTTCAAGTTATTGCATTTTTAGAGAATGGATTTTAAGTAACATTTTGTACTTCCGAACTAATTATCCAATTTTTCTCTATTAGTTTTTAATATCTGAACAGAACACAATATTGTCTATGTTAGAAAATTAACCCAATCATTCTTTTTTCTTTTTTAGAATAAAAAGTTATAAGTAATCTGAAGTTTTTTTTTTTTGGTTTTCTTATTTCAATACTGTGAAGCTTGTTTGGAAAGATTCACATCTCTTACAAGATTTTTTTTGTGTTGTGTAGTTTAATATTTTGAATATATGAAAAAATCTTTTTTCCTAGGTTCACATGGTTGCTGATTGTATTGGTGGATTGCTTCTTTTTTATTCTTTGCAAGCAACAACATTAAATAGGTACTCAGTTAGTCTATCTGGAATGGAAGATTCTTCTTCATTTAAAGGTTCATCAGTTTTTACTGACAAAGAAATGGCTCCTGAAAGTAAACTTTCAAATTCATCAGCTGAAGATTTTGAAGAGTACAAGAGTGATGTCTTGCATTATGATTTTATAGTTAAAAATGTGTTTGTGTTTGGCTCCCCCATAGGTATTACAGTTTACAAAGATAAATTAATTGCAAAAGGTTAGCATTTTTTTGTTTTTTTTTTTTAGCATTTTTTGGTTTATATTTAGTGGAGTTTGTAATTAGTGGAGTTATTTAGTATTTGGTTGTATTTTGTTTTGTATTTAGTTTCGCCTTCGCAAGGGGATTTGTGGAGACGAGTTTTAAATTTTTTTTGTTAATAAACTTAATTTGATCAGACTAATTTATTAGAAGGATTTGCACTTACTTACTTAAACTTGTTTTGCTTTTACATAGGTTTTCATCCACCACGATGTGACCAGTTTTATAACATTTTTCATCCATTTGATCCAATGTCTTCTCGAATTGAACCTCTTATAGATAAAAAGTTTTCAAAAATAAATCCATCAATTATCCCTCGACATCAGTCATTTCCTTATACAACTACTATTGAGTGTGATTGGGAAATTTCTGCTGATGACTCAACTTCATTTGGTTCTAAATTGTCTATATGTTCCAATGGTTTCAATGAACAAATAAATTGTTTAGATGGAAATATAAGTATGATTTATTATTACTTGTTATTTAATGCTTGTTATAAATTTTAGGCATTTACACATTCTCCCTTAGATGATTTTTGGTGGGGAGAAAAAAGAATTGATTATATTCTACACTGTCCAGCTGGTGTGGATAAGTTTCCGTTCAACTCATTGCATCAGTTGTGTTATAATAACTACTGGGAATCTAAAGATATTGTAGCTTTTATACTTTGGCAGGTTTAATTTTTAATATTTAATTAAATTTTAAATTCGAAATATTTAAAATTTTCTATGGATTTTTTTATAAACAATATTTTTATAAAATAAGATTTTTAGCAACAATTATTTTGGAGTTTTACAATATTTTGATGAAATATTTTACCAACATGGTTAGACTTTTTGATAAAACTGTAAAAATGTGGTTTTTAAATTTCTATTTCAAGAAATTTAAATATAAAGCTAAAACTAGAATTGGGTAAAACTTATATCTTTGTAGAGGAAAAAGGTGAGTTGTAAAACTCACTTTTGTTGAGGACAAAAGTGAGTTTTACCATTTTTTGATTTGAATAACAAGGTTTATTTTATCTTATTCTAAGATCAGTAGGAAACATTCAAAGGTTTGACAACAAAGCATTAATATATTAGTAATTAATAATAATGATAATAATAGTAGCTAAATGTCTCGGTAGAAATGGTGGACTAGTGCCAATGCCTGCATCCACATCTATGCAAGTCACTTTACATGAACAAAAGTTTAAATATTTATAATAGTTTAAATATTTATTAGTTTGGATTGCAATTAAATAAAGTAAAAAAAATAAAAAAATCTTTATGTGTTTAAATTAAAAACGTGCTTTGCTAATTAATATGTAAATACCAGAGAAGTAGTCAAGACAGTAAAGTTCAAGACCAAGACTAAGACCAAGATATTTGGGCTCAATACCAAGACTTTAGACTTCAAGACCAATACATCAAAAAGTCAACCCAAGACCAAGTCCAAGACTTTAAAATTTTCACAAGACCAAGATCATGACTTAGATTCTTAGAAGTTCAACACAATAAGACTCATGGTCAAACATGTATGAATACTATTAGGCCTATAACTGATGTATCATTTTACCATTGATGCACATTACTCTATAATAAAATGTGATTACACATGCATAATATAATTATGTTATAGCGAATTGTGCAGTGCACTGTTGCAGTCTAAAATAGATAACTTTAATGATAACAGAAAGCTAATAGATTTTTTGTATTATTAAAAACAAAATGTACCAATAAGAAATGAGGCAAGATCATCACATTGTGAAACTAAGAATAGCGCACATATAGCTGACATGCAGGTATTTTTTTTTTTGTAACTACACTAGCCATATACTAGCTGCAAAAAAAAAATTTGAAAAATTAATGATTAATAATTATAACACTTGCATAATTAATGATTATGACTGTTTATAATGAATGGATTTTATTATAAACAGTCATATATGCAAAGCATTCATTATAAACAGGGGTAAAAATTTGTTTATTAAAATTTAAGCTACAGCTATTCACGAAAGTTTAAACGAGAGTGTAATTTTGATCAAGTAGGTTTATTTTTTTCTTAATAATAAAATAAATAAAAATGATGTCGACTTTTTATAGCAAAGGTAAACTCGTTTCTGCATCGATTCAACTAATTTCATGCACATCTCTCGAGGTACCTTCAACCAGTACTCATTCAAAAGTTGCTTTAAGTGCTCAGTTGATTGTATTTGGTAATAAGTAAGTTGATTGTCAATCCAAGACCAAATATTTTCAATTGGGTTGAGATCTGGTGATCTAGGGCACCAAGGGATCACATTTATCTTTTTCTGCAAAAAATATTTTTTGATTGATTTAGCTGTATGAGCTAGAGCCCCGTCTTGTTGAAAGATAAATTGCTTGCTTCTACCATACAACTGTCTGATTGATGGACTTAAACATGTTTCCAATGTATTTTTGTAGGTGTACTGATTTATTCGGCCTTCGTACAGCTGACACATACTGATACCTTTGTGAGAAAAACATCCCTAAATACCAATGGAACCTCCACCGTCTTGTCAACGTGGTTGCAAAAACCATTCTGAATATTTCTCCATTGCAAATCTTTTGACATATAGTCTTCCCTTGCGGTTTACAACTGGAAAATTAGCTTCATCACTCCAAATAACTTTTAACCAGTCTTCAACAGTCCAGCTTAATCTTTCTTTTGACCATATTCGCCGTTTACGTCGGTCCATGATTGATAAAATAGGTTTTCTTGCTGCAATGTACATTCCAATACCTTTTTGCAGCAATTTTCGCCTAATGAGCTCTCTGCTCACATTCTGTTTATTTTTTGACTCGTTGAAGATTTGTGCTAGCTTTTTGTAGCTGTGCCTAGGATTCTCTCTGCAGCTTCTGAAAATGCTACTTTTTTCACGGTCACTAAGCTTCGATGGTCTCCCGGAATGCGGCACGTCAACGACATCCTTGGTAAGCTTCCAGGTTTTGACTGTTTTTTGTACGCAAGATTCAGAAACCCCAAGTTTTTTGCCTATTTGAACGTTGCTGTGAATTTTTGACTTGGACATACCAATAATTTGCCAATTGATCTCACTTGAAACTGGTTTTCGCCCCATTTGCACGCAGTTTGAAATTTTTTGAAATTTGCAATGATTTCAGTTGATTTTCGTTGAATATGAAGCTGTTGAATAATGTTGTGACGATTTTTATTGACTAAAAACCACTCAATCTATTTATGTTTATGTTTTAAAACAATTTTCGCAACGGATTAATTAATTACTTAACAAATAATTGAATTTTAATAAACTCGTTTAAACTTTTATGACACCAATTAATTTCTCACATCTATATATTAATCAAATTCCCAAGAGATCACTTATGAGTCGAAACCTACTTTTTTTATTTATTTTTGATCAGAAAACCTAGTTACTGAATGGGGAAAAAATTATTTTGATATCTATTTCCGTTACATTTTTATTAAAAAAAAACCAAAGATTTTTCTTAAAATTACACCCTCGTTTAAACTTTCGTGAATAGCTGTATGTAACATTAAAACAATTTTAAAAGTATTATACTCATTTATTTAAGTTTTAATTTCAATTCTTTTCTTTATAGGCACTTGTTTGGAGTTATTTTATTGCAATTTCTAAAATTTTTATTTTCAATAGCATTTTATTCACAAAGTAAAAGAAAAAAAATTGAATGAAGTAGATAAACTAGAACGATAAAAATACATTAAAATAGAGATATTTAAATAAATATTTGGTAAAATATTTTCTAAAAAACCTTAGAATGTTTAAGTTAAGAAATATCAGAATAAAACAATAGTTGATAATTGTTTTTCTGATATATATTTTTTCTGTGGTTTGTGAAGAAAAACATTTGCAACTTAAAAAAAAAAATGTCTTTCTCTAGTTAAAAAAAAACAGAACAAAAAGTAACAAACGGAAGCCTAAACAGACAAAATGAATATGAACTTGAATAAACAAAATGTTTAAAGCAAACTATCAATTATTATTACTAAAATCTAACCAATCAAAATCATTTTCATTTCTTCATGATATTCAAGTATTATCTAGATATTAACAACATTAAAAAGAATATGGCAAAAAAAATTATATTTTCATTAAAATAATGAATTTTTTTTATTAGTCAGAGTTCATTATTTTTCATTATTCTTTGTTTTCTTTTTCTTTTTCTGAAAAACTTTTTCGATTTAGGATGGCATTTAAAACTTTAGGTGTGCAAAACATAGAATAGTGTTGACCTAAATACGGTCAGATAACAATATGCATGTATGATATTGATTATAATAAGTTTGTTACCATAACAATTTTGCTCTTTGAAATAAGGATCGAAATTTCCAAGAATTTTTCAAATTGAAAAATTTTCAGAGGAAATTTTCAAAAAAAGATAGTATTTTATAAATAATTTATAATTTTATTATAAGTTATAAAATTTTATGTCTTATTTAGGCAGTTGTTATAGATAATTTTATGGTAAAATATTGTTGAGCAGATTATAAAAATCTTAAAAAGCCCTCTTTTAAAAAACAGTTTTCTTAGTGTTTTTTGAGTTTTTTGATTGAAACTGTAAGTAACAACCATGTTAATTTGTTTTCAAATTTGTTTTATCCTGTTATTTGCTAAGCATATACATCAATTTTTTTCATTGATGAATATACATTTACCTATGAATATTTGTATTGTATGTTGGTGTATTTTTTTTGTTGCATAAAAGTGGCTGATATTCAAATAAAATGAAGCGTTTTTATATTGTAAAAATCCTTTTAACAGTATTATAATATCCTCATAAATATTTTATCCCTGTTAATTAAATAATTAACAAAATAATCCCTAGTTAATTAGATAATTTTATGCCTCCTTTTATTACAAATTATGTAGAAACACACTGTCCTATTTTTACACTTTATTTCAGTAAAGAGTAAAAATAGAAAGTGCACTATATGCACTCTCTATTCATGCACTTTAATTAATGCACTAGTGTTTTAGAATGTTGGTTTTGTAAATGAAAAAAACAGAGTTCAAGCCGACTTTGTCCCTGGAAATACAGCGCTCACTTGTTTCTCTAAACAGCTGTCTTTTTTGTTAATGTTTGCTTTTCGGAGGCATAGGATTGAGAAAAAAGTTTATCAAAAAATAATAAACAAATATATATATATATATATATATATATATATATATATATATATATATATATATATATATATATATATATATATATATATATATATATATATATATATATATATATATATATATATATATGAAGACCACATGGGTAAAACTACAGATGTCCACTTTTTGAAAATTTCTAGTTTTATATATTTTTATGATAATTTAGTACTATGTACTATTTTTATTTTTTAAGCTATTTTAGTTTAAAAAATCATAACAAAAAAACTGTTTTAAGGTTCTATGGTCATTTAAAAAAAAGGGCAACTTTGAAACAACTGCTGTTGTCAAATGTTTACCGCGTAAAAATCACAGTTGTCCAAGTTATTTATAACTAAACCAGTGATAATAAAAGAGTAAGTCACATGACTAACTCGGATGAACTAAACAACATTATGTTCACAGAAAAATTAAAAAAAAAAAAATTATATATATATATATATATATATATTTATTTATATAATTACTCAATAATATTCTGATTCTGATGTTTTTAATTGTGAAGTAAATTGCTTTGATTTCAAAAAAAAAAAAAAAAAAAAATGCCTAAACGTTTGAAACCAATATGTATACTATTCCAGACAATACCTGTTTTAACTAATATACTTTTAATTCAAAAATTATATTTTTATTGCTATGATGAAACTGTTGGAAACAGATGGTCTGATGTTGTATGTTCTATGCTGCATGATTTTAAATTATTAATTGTCTCAAGTGTAAAGGATATCAAATTGATTTGCAATTTATGTGCTAGGCAAAATAAAAAATGAAAAGTTTTAATTTGATTTTATTATCTAGTTTATAAAACTAAAAAACTTGACAGCATTACTGTTTCATTACCAAGTAGAACTCTGTCACATTATGTATAGGCATTACACCTCTAAAAAATGTGACAGAAACATTGGCCATTGCTAATCAAAAGTTTCTTGCAGAAACACTAGACGATCTCACAAAAAACCATAACAATTCATATACAACATGATACAAGAAAAATTTCTGAAATTTGCAGAGTTTCAAAGCCAAACTTCTGAGTTGTTTGTTCATTTAAGACATGTTTACTTAGAGACATGTAGACTTGGAGAAATTGAAATATTAAAGGTTATGAAATATTAAAAGTTAAAGTTTAATTATATGAAAAAATGGAAATATTTAATTTTATGAGTGTTACATCCCATATTTTTAAATCAATGATCGAAGTGCCTGATAAACTGAAACAAGCATACATAGCCCTGTTGTCTTTTTTTGCTAAAAATTTAAAGACTTACTAAAGCTAAACATTTTCTGAATGGACAAAATAAGACATTATTTGATCTTATTTTATCATTTTTTTTTCAATTTATTTTATTTTTCTTTGAAAATAAAAACAAAATATTTTTATTAACGTTTTGTTCACAATCGGGTTTTGTATGGTTTATACAAACTTGATATAAAGTGATGGAGCACAGACATCATGGAATTATCTGTGGTAAATAGATGAGGTTGGGGAAAAAATAAGGTTGCAATATTAAAATAAGTTTTATTTATATGTATATTAATATTATATTATATATTGATTTTAGATTTTTGATTTTGAGCAGTACATCCCCCCTCCAGTAGTTTCTGATATAGGTGGTTCTTTTTTTCATCAACATCCTCAAGAGAAGTGGATGAAAAAAAAGACAAAAGTAAAAATAAAGGTATTTAATATTTAATAAAATATTTATATAATGTAGAAATTTAAAATTTTTTTTTTTCATTTTTGTAAAAAAAAAACATTATGAGTTAATATGCCTCATACTTTTTAGCTTTAAATGTTAATTTTTTTAATTTTAATAATTACAAAAAATTCTCAAAGTTTACAATTTCTAACATTAATCATTTTTATTTTATTTATATCATTATTATTTTATTTATATCGTTATTATATCATTTATGTTTTTAATTATAGAATATGAGTCCAAATCACAGAGCAAATGATATTGTTGTTCTATGCGGCTCACAGACTTTTATAATAGGAAAGTTTACTTATGGTCCTTTAGACATTGCAACTTTAAATGGTGAAAAGGTATTTCTATTTATAATTTTGTTATATAAATGAAAATCAAAAGTAAATACATGTATATATATGTATATCTGTGTATATATATATATATATATATATATATATATATATATATATATATATATATATATATATATATATATATATATATATATATATGTATAGACATATATATAGACATCGATATATAGCAATAAATGGGTGTTTAGATGATCCCTGTGATGTCACACTGAAGCACCCTGCTACTGGGAGCTTTATTACATACAGAAAGGATTGTAAACATAATTAAAAGTAGCCTTCTCAACTGTTGTGGCCTTCATGTCCTTGGGGAGGGTAATTAAAATAGAATAAAAGGTATAATTAAGGTTTAACATAAAATTTTTATAATAAATAAAGTTTTATAGCGTTATTTATTTGTACACTAATTATATGCATAAGCATTTTTTTTTTTTTTTTTTTTGTAGAAAAAAAATATTATGGTTAGTATTATTGCTAATGAGTTGTTAACTTAACCTAACATTTTAAAATATTTTAGGTTAAGTAGTGTTTTAAATTTAACGAAGTTATTGAGACAAAAAAACTGAAACTGTTTCAGTTTTTTTCAGTAACAGTTTTGCAAAAACTAAAGGTTTAAAAACTATTTGTTATTTTGCCCTATCTTCCTTAATATTATTTAATAACTTATAAATTTTAAAAAAATTTTATAAAAAAATAAATTTGCATTATATACAGCTATAATCATGAAAGTAGCAGTACATGAAATTTTTTTGAAAAACAAATCTTTTGAAAAACTATTGAAAAACATTTTTGTATGAAAAAATCTTATTGCTTTTATTTTGATTCTTTTATTAAGTAAAAAAAATGTTTTACATTTTATTTCAGAAACAAAACGATAATATAAAAGTTGCAGTCATTGAAGTAACAGTGGTATCTGAAATTGGAAAAAAAGGTTTTTTTTATGGGGTTAAGATTGGGTGACTAAGCAAGCAATTCCATAGCCTCAACCCCATTGACCTGTAACACTTTGCTTTGCGACTAGTGTGTTTAGGGAAAGACCCATTTTAGTGGCATATCTTCATTAGCATAGGGCAGCTTCATTAGCATAGGACATTATTGAAAATATGTTGTTCCATGATACAATCAATCTTATGAAAAGGTCCTACACCATTATATGAGAAGCACCCCATATCATGATTTGGATCCACCATGTTTTACAGTCAAAATAGAATATTTTTGCTGGAATTCTGTGTTAGCTGGATGTCTTATAGATATGATTGCAAATTAAAGTCAAAGGCTCCTTTAAGCTGATTGAAGATATATTTATAATTCTGATTAGGGGTTTTATAAGTAGTTAGGACAAGTCATTTCTACATTTATAATTTAATTTCAAAAGTGAGAATTGCTGGATGCCTTACATATCGTATTGAACCTGTACCTCCATAAAGAATGACTTTTGATTCATTGGTCCATAATTTGTTGTGCCACTTTTTAATAGACTGATTCAGATGCTGGTTGGCAAACTGCAAATGTTTAGCAGTGTCAACAAAGGAATTTTTTAAGCAGTGCGTGCATTTAAACTATTTTTTCTTAAGTGTCTATGTACAATAGTGTATCTTTAATTTAAAATACCTTTAGTTTAAGATCATCTTTGGTTTGCTTGGCTGATGAAAATGGTTTGCTTTTAACAAATCTAACTATTCTTCTGTCTTCTTTAACTTCCTGTAGTTTTATGTTTTCTACCTTGTTTTTTAACTTTTTCATATTTGCTGAACATATTTAAAATGTATGAGTATGATTTGCTCTCACTATGATACTTCAAAATAATGTTGTGTAAAGTGCCGGTGTACAGCGAGATACTTTGAAAAGTTTAGAAAGCGCTTTTACCATTGAACATTCACAATTTTGAGCATACACAGATAAATAAAAAATATAATTGAAGTAATATTTACTTAATACTTTTTACTTCTTCTCTGGAAATTACAAAAAACTGCTATTTTAATGCATTCCCTTAATTACAAATTTCAACTAAAACAATAGTATTCTTGAATTTAGTGAATTCTTATTGTTCAATTTACTTATCTCATTCTAATACATACACACATGCAGTGTGTTAGCCGGGAAATTTGTACATCGTTTTTTCGAAATTGGGAATTTGTAATAATGTTGCCTTTACTCCTCCTCCCTTCTCATATATTTCTTTCTCTCACTCAATACCAATACTGCACTGGGTTTAAAATTAAAAAAAAAGTTATTTACATTCATGTGTATTCTACTACTCTAATTGCTTTTAAAGGTTTCTCTAAAATAATCACAAAAAGTAAAACCTTCATTGTTTAAAATATTTCAAAGTATGGTTTAACTGTTAAATGCTTTTTTGTAAGTAATTACATTTTGGTGGCCTTGCCGGGCTACAGTATTTTTTTTCTGAATTTTATTTGCCATTTGCGAAAACGAGTTAAAGGTGTAACACCATAGTTACCATAAGACCATGATTTTACCTCCTTTTTTTTTATAAAAAAAACCCTTGATATGCATATATATTTTCTACATATAGATCGTATATAGATCAACATTTGTGGACTTTTTTTAATAATTAGATTCTATTAATAAAGCCTTATAAGTTATATTAGTATTCTTAATAATAAAACTTCTAACAGTTGATATTAAAGCTGATAATAAAGTTTAAAAAAAAAAGAAAGGTAAAAGGTGAAAAAGCTTTCAAACAAACTTTTGTTTTTTTATATTAACATAGGGTTTAAGTTTAACAAATAAAGCCACTGATTTTTGAATCTAATATTTAAAATTGAATTAATAATAAAATTCTTTATTATGCAACTGTTTTTAAATTATTTGGCTGAAATAAAGTTTTATATTGAACTCATACTTTTCTATTAACTAAAATCAAATATAAACACATTAGTATATTGTTCCAGTTTTATACATCCTAGTCTTAACTTAACTAATTGTAGATTTTCTTATTCTATTTATTTGTTGCAGAAAATGTAATAAAAAAATAAATAAAAAAAGTTGCATCTAAAAATTAAAAAAAAAAATGTTTGATAATGTTATGCAATTTTTGTGAAGGTTGACATTTATATTACAAAGAGTGCGCAGTTTAATGATTGGAGCTTTGTAGCCAATGAAGTAACAGATAAACATGGCAAAGTTCTCCATCCGTTTCAAACTGATCAACCAGGTGTTCATTCTATTCGTATGGTTGTCAGGTAGCTTCAACAGTATAATTCAGTTTTCAACTAAAATTAAAATTTGTTTTTACATATTTAATAAACCGAAAATAATAAATCTTTCATATAATAAAAAATAATAAATAATTTAAATTTAAGTTTTTTTATTGTTTTTTTTTTTTTTTTGAAGTGAAGTTTTTTTTTACGTTATTTTTAATTTTTAATTTATTAATCTAAAAAACCAAGAGCAACTTTCTGCCATGGTTTGCTGTAAACAATTTACTTTTCTTGATGTTTTTATCATAACTTTTTACAACCATGATTTTAAATTTTGATTAGCTTTAAGTTTTCTCTTTTTGCTTTTATTTTAATTTTTTCATGTTTTTAAACTTATCAAAAAGTGTCAAGAAGTTTGTGTAGAATAATTTTGAAGGAGAACTGTGACATCAATAATGGCATAGTTTTGTGTAGAATACCATTAAAGAACAATCGGACATCCCAAATGTCATAACTTTGTGTAGAATACTTTTGAAGGATAAATAAGACATCACTAACCCATAATAGAATACTTTTTTTTCATCTTTCTTTTGTATTTTTTTAGAACTTTTTATTTTTTCATTTTATTTTAAATTAAGTTGTTCATATTAAATTGTTAATATTAATTTTTAAATTATTATATTTATTCTATATTTTTGGGCAGAACTAATATAATTTTATAACAAATTATTATATATATGTAATAATAAATTTTTCAAAATGCTATTAATGATTTTTAATTCAATCAATATTATAAATAGTATTAATATAAAGGATGAAGTTTAATTTTAATAATTTTTATAAATAAATTTTTAAAATTTAACTTCGTGTAGAATACTTTTGAAGGATAAATAAGACATCACTAACCCATAATAGAACACTTTTTTTCATCTTTCTTTTGTATTTTTTTAAAACTTTTTATTTTTTCATTTTATTTTAAATAAAGTTGTTCATATTAAATTGTTAATATTAATTTTTAAATTATTATATTTATTCTATATTTTTTGGCAGAACTAATATAATTTTATAACAAATTGTTATATATATGTAATAATAAATTTTTCAAAATGCTATTAATGATTTTTAATTCAATCAATATTATAAATAGTATTAATATAAAGGATGAAGTTTAATTTTAATAGTTTTTATAAATAAATTTTTAAAATTTTTATAATTGTTATAAATTTTGTAATATTAGTAATATAGAGGCTGAAGTTTAATTTTTTAGGGGTGATCATTCTTTTGTGGATTGCAGCTTAGCCATTTTGCCTCCAAATACAGAAGCGGTTGTTTTTAGCATCGACAGTAGCTTTCTTTCATCATATTCTATATTTGCAAAAAATCCAAAAGTTAGAGGGGGAGCTGTGGATGTTGTCAGGTAATCTTTTAAAATATATATTTTTTCAACATTAACAGAATATTTTATATGTAAAAAAAATTCTCCGCTTAAAATTTTCTAGGATTCATCAATAAAAACATAAAATAAATCATACTAGCAACAACTAAACACAAACCAAAAACCCCTACTATTTAAACCACATTTACAGAGGAAACAAAACACATAAAAACTCAATTGTTACTAATCATTTAAAAAAATATATTCTTAAACTTACAAATGCAGAATTTAAAGTATTTCGCTGTAGTTAGTGTTTTTTACAAAATAAGATGTCATTTGAATGATGAACCTTTGGGTGTCCTCTTTTCAAAAAAGTTTAAAACCTTTTTTTTTTTTTTTATTTAGATAATAGGGTGAGGCAAAATATAAAAATGATTTTATTTTGGTTAAAAAAATGATTTTATTTTCAAAAATACAAAAATGATTTTATTTTGGTTTCTTTTGACATATTGTTTCAGAAAATAAAAAAAAATCCAAAAATTACTATTTTAGTTGGTCCTATAAGTCCAAAAAATCAAAAAAATTAAACGTGTAAAGATATATTGTGGGCAGGATTACATAAAAATATTAAAGAATACCATCAAAGTATTTTTTATCTCTTTATATCTGCTATATAGGATATAATTGTTTTTTTTTTGTTTTGCTTTTGTTGCAGGTATTAACACCAATGGTTTGGTCCCACTGTTTTGATATTAGTGCATATAATTTAGAGCAAGATAGACTTAGAGAAAAAAAAGGGATGGCTGAATAAGCGCAAATTACATAAGTGCAAGCTAGCATAAATGCAAATGGCGTAAGTATGAACTGGCATAAGTGCGAATTAGCATAAATGCAAACTGGCATAAGTGCAAATTGGCATAAGTGCAAAATGCTAATTTGCACTTCTGCCAGTTTTTATAACTGCTTTGCACTTATGTCGATTCATACTTATGCCAATGTATGCCAAACAAATTTGCAAATTTGTTTGGCATACTTATGTCAATTCACACTTGTGCCAGTTTGCACTTGTGCCAGGTTTAGCAACTGCTTTGCACTTATGCCAGTTTGCACTTATGCCAATATTTGTAAATTCTTTTGGCGCACTTATGGCAATTAGCACATATGCCAGTTTGCACTTATGCCAGTTTTTGCAACGCTTTGCATTTATGCCAGTTCACACTTATGAAGTTCATGCTTAGTCAGCTTAGCGAAAAAAAGGAGCTAGCATCATATCTGCCCCCCCTCCCCCTCTCTTTCATAAACTATTCAAGTCAATAACCTAATATTCAAATAAGTCGTATATTTATCAATATTTTTCACAAAAAGATCAAATTATACTAAAATAATTAAAATGAAAAAACATAACATTTTTTATGAAACTCTAAGCTGTATTTTTTAAAAATATAAAATAAAAATTGTAAGAAAAAATAACAAGTTTAGTGTTGCAAGAACATCTGATGTCAAATTAATGTAAGATTTGCTAATCAAAGCTTGAAAGCAGAAATTGTTTCCTATGCCCATGTAGAAATTAATTCACTTTTTTTTGTTAAGATTCTGCAAATGCCTTTTTTTTTAAAGATCATATTGTTATAAAATGTACTAATAATGTATACAGTATCTTTAAGCTGTCATATTGGTGTCACACTACTTTTTTAGTATATTTTTTATATTGTATTAAAGATTTAATATAAATTTCTAATTTCTAAATAATCATATTCAAGTTCATATATATACATATGTATATTAGGGTTATAATATTTTTGTGTTATCAGTTCCCTGTATAAAAAGTAGATGAACTTTGGTTTGAAGGTAACTAAATGTCATTTGTTTTTTTCATTTTTTGAAAAAGGTTGCCCCTACTCGGTGTAGTTAAGGCACTTTTAAAATATTATAGCGTCTGTATGATAATTTGTTGATTATGACATATTTCCGTGAAATGGTCTGGTCTGTGAATTATGAAAAGACGAAAAAAATTAAAATAATAAATTTTGCGCTATGATAAAATATAAATGTTTGTAGCGAAAAAACCCAGACCGTGTAATCTTTTTTTTTTAAAAAAATCATCTCAAAATCACAATCACTCGTCCAAATTTAAATAAGATTTTATATTAATACGTTTTTTAGGTGAAATGAACATTATAGTTTAACAATATGATCTGTTCTGATCGTTTATTGGCAATTATTTATAATTATAAGCTCTTTCTTGGTCGGAATTCCAGTATTTTTTGTAAAAAATAATAGAAATATTGTGTTTTGACAACTATATATAGTTAATATACGTCAGAACCGATTAGAACTAGGATCAGTAGTAAATTAAGTAACTTTTTAAAAAGATTTTAACTAAATTCATGTGAATGTCGATGAGCGAAATTGATCTAAAGACTCCAAAATAGTGTTCTTTAGATACATTATTACGGGTTTTAAAAAGATTTTAAAAATTAAATATAAAAAAGAAAAGTTCCTTCAAATATTATAAAAACCTTAAGCAAAAAAAGTTATAACATTTAAAGATCTTGTTTGGGCATAATATGCTGACAAAACCATGCTAATTCCAAATAAAAGTATTCAAATATTTTGTAAATTGCCTTAACTACACCGAGTAATGAACCTTGATTCCTCACTGGGTCCTATTTTTTTTCTCTGAAAATAATTTAATTTGTGTCTCTAAAGAACCAGAATATTATAGACACTTCAAAATTAATAATGATTTTCAATATAAATCTATAAATTATTATTTTATATATAAGTTATACAACATTTTAAAACTAAACTTAATATGCTCTTTTTTTTAATGACTTTTTTTATGGCATTTTGTATCAATTATTTTTTTACAAAATATATAGAGTTTAAATTTCATGCCTTCTGGCAATCATCAACTATTTTCTATTTACAAATCAAAAACGCTAATAAATCATTTAAAAATACTGTCGACATTTGTCAACACTAAGATAAAAATTCACCTTATTAAGCATATTTTTCCCATTATGAGACAATATTTTAAAATTTTTCATAAAGGCATAGGTTGCAAACTTTATTTGTTTTAAGGTTTCAGTGTTCTATGATTTTTAATTTTATTGTATGTTTTTTGGCCAAATTTTACAAAATCCAAATCTTCTTAGAAGGCTTGGTATCATTTTTATGCTTTAAGGCGTTTAAAGATTTTAAATGATTTGCGTATCATAACTTAAATGGTTTTTCACTAATATCAATAAATACTTTTACTTTTGGATTAGAAATTTTTGTAGTTACAATAGCACAACAGACTATATTTTTTACTAGATTATTTAATGGACAAGCAGTTGTTATGATACTTGTTTTTATGTTCTGACTTAATTGCGGTTATGCCAACTATTTATAAATTTTACATTTTGCATACTGCTATAACTTCATTTACTATTGCAAGAAATCGATGTAAAAATCGATGTGAAAAGATGCTAACTACTATTATTTTAAGTTTACTAAATCTCGTATCTTATTTCAGAAGTCTAGGCCCTAGAGGCTAAACTTATCAAAAATATATAAAAGGCCCTTTTGGAAAATATACAACAGCATGATTAACAAGAGTAGGTCTAACTTTCCACAATCCGCACACACTCTCCTAAAACAGTTTACGAAATCAGTTTATGGCTATCGAAAAAGTATAATTATCATTGTAACTAAAATCAAAAACACTAAATTATTTTTATAAAAATTAATTGCATAATAAACTGCAATGGTTTTTAAAAGGCTCAAAAAAAAAAAAATTCAAAGTTAAAAAAGAGTACTGATTTAATTGCAAATGTGTTTAATTAGATTGGACGAACTGATAAATATAAAGTTATTACACTCTAATTATATTGATAAAATATAAAATGATTTAATTGGTAATAATAAAGCTACATGCTTTAAGTTAATGCATAATTATTTTTACTTTATGCAGATAGTTATATACTTAATATATTTACTAATTTAATATATTATTCACTTTTATTGTAGAATTTTAAACTGTTGTAATAATTCTTAAAATGCCTGCATTCTATTACAATAAGAAAATTATTTTTTCTTAAGCAGTAACAACTTTTATATCTCTCTAATAGATTGAAAACTTTTATATCTCTCTAATGGATTGAAAACTTTTGTATCTCTCTTGGATTGAAAACTTTTAAATCTCTCTAATGGATTGAAAACTTTTATATCTTTCTGATGTGAAAACATAAAAAAAACATAAGTTTGAGCCTTTTAATGTTTGTCTTAGCCTTTTTTTAGCCTTTCTTCCACTTCCTTAAACTCTTTAGTAACCAGATTCACTTTCAGCATGTTTAATTATCTTATAGATAATACTTTTAGGTATATTCTCAGTTTTAAAGTGGTCATATACCAACATTTCTGTAATTTAAATAAAGTTTATAACATGTTTTCTAATGTCTTTTTGTCTTGAATTAATTTTTTTATTCATATTTCTATAAAAAATAAAAACACATAAAATATTTAAAAACTAGAATAAAAATAGTTTTTAAAACATTTTTCCTTTTTGTTTTATCTTATATAATTATGTGTCTTTAAATCCAGTCTCGTTTTTCAGTTGTCACTCATTTAAAAAAATAAATAAAATAAAACAGCACTTTTGTATCATTTAAAAAGTTTTTTATTTATTTATGTTATTTCATTTACATATTTAATTTAGCTTTACTATTTCAACCTTAAATATAATAGTTGTATATCTTTTTGTTTTGGCAGACATTGGCAAGAACTTGGTTATTTAATTATATATGTGTCAAGTCGCTTGTTATTTCAAAAGTGTCAGGTTACAAACTGGCTCTCTGAACACAAGTTTCCTTTTGGTATTGTTTCGTTTGGTGAGCATGTAACTGGAGATTACCAAAAACACAAGATAGATTTTCTAAAAAGACTTATGAATGTGGTAAGTTTATAGTAGTGTCACAATTTATCTTGGTATTGTGCACACATTTATACATATATACAGTATCGGACAAAACAAGTGCAACCAAATAATGCTAATTTAGTTTCTTTATATAAAAGTGCTGCATTTTTTCAATTTAGGGAAATAACTATGTAACTGTTTAGAGACAACGTTCAAGTTTTATTCATCACAGAGTTCATTATTTGTACACGAAAATTAATAAATTAATCAAAAGTATTAAAAAAAGTTGATTTCCTCCTGGACAAAATAAGTGCAACTCCACAAAATGTTGACCAAGCTGTATTTTGCTATCAAACTTTTGTGGCGAATCCTTTGTTAAGGATCACAGCCTTGCATCTTCTAGGCATAGATTCGATCAGGTGATCAATGAAACTCTGTGGAATCGCTGCCCAGGCCTTTTCAATTTGTTCAAACAGTTGATCCTTATTACAAAAACCTTCACAATTAATTTTGCGGTTGACAATCTCCCACAGGTTCTCTATAGGGTTGAGATCCGGAGATTGAGGCGGCCAATCCATCACTGATAGGTGGTTGTCTTGAAACCACTGCTTGGCTACTTCTGCAGTGTGTTTCAGATTGATGTCTTGCTAAAAAACCCATTTTATTGGCATATTTAATTCAGTATGAGGTAACATAACATCTTTCAGGATATTTTTATACATGAAAAGGTTCATTATTCCATCGATTCGATGTATTGGACCTAGACCGTTAGCAGAAAAACACCCCCAAACCATTACATTGCCTCCACCATGCTTCACGGTCTTATGGCAGTAACGTAAATCCAAGCGTTTTCCGGCCGGTCGACGTACATGGCAAATGCTATCGCTCCCAATGATGTTGAACTTCGATTCATTACTGAACAGGACAGTTCGCCATTTCTGCACATTCGAGTCAATATGAGATGTAGCAAACAGGAGTCTTTTCTTCTGGTTCTTTAGTGAAATCAGAGGTTTCTTTGCAGGGCGTCGA